TAGGGAACTGCTGCAGGAGGAGAGCACAGGAACTAAACCAGAACAGAATCCCTACATCTTAATTCATCCTGCATGAGTCACCCTCACAATCCAAGCAGCTGGCTGCATTGCTGCTCATTCATTTAAATATTCATTTAATGCTTGACAAGGAGAAAACACTGCCCAGCCTGGCCTGGAGGAGTCACCCAGGGCAGTGCCCTAGGCTGGTGTCCCTGCCAGGCAGTGCTTCCCCCAGCTTTAGGTGAGCAGTGGGACTTCAGGGGGGCTTCAAGCAGGACATTTCTTCCTTCCAGTTCCTCCCCTTCTGTGTGATCTTGGGCTCCAGGTGGAGAAGAGGTTTCCCTGAGGGGTGGCAGCCTCCCCTCTCCCCTGGGTCTCACAGCTCAGCAAAGGGCTTCTCAGATTTTGTGGAGAACACTTGAAATAAGAGGAGAAAAAATAAAATATAGTGAGTCCACTGCCTTTCAATCCCTGCCTTCAAGCTCTTAACTCTGCCATCTCTTACATGTTCTTGCCAAGGACAAGCAGTGAGGAACACCACAAAATGTCCAAGCAGAAGCCCCAGCCATCCTGCTCATCCCTGAGTAGAGGGCACAGAGGAGCCAGGAGCCCAGTTCTGAATCCACCCTCCCCTGGTGGAGAACTTCTGCTGGCACTTGCTGGTTGGACATGGAGCCTTCACAGTGTTGCTCCACTAGCAGAGGTGGTACCAGAGGCATCATCATAAAGGCAAAAAGTGCCCTGGCAATTTTAGTTTATTTCCAGAGCTGCTAGAAGCTATTTCCATACACCCAGGATAGGATGTTCCTAGGTCTTACAATGGGAGGTTCTCCCAGAAAAATCAGTATCACCAGTGCTTGACAGGACAGCTCCTTTTCCCAGCTTCCCAGCATCATTTATCACTCTGGGAGCTGGATAGATGGTTGCCCCTGGGCTGCTTTGATAATTGCTCTCCACCAAACCAGGTGTGGTCATTACAGCAGCCTCACTAAAGCTTTTGGGTGTCTTATCAGCCCAAACTGCCCCTCTCTCAGCTCTGAGCAAGGTGCTCACTCCCCCCATTACAAAGAGCCAACCAAGCAGCCTGGTGTGCCTGGTGCCACCACCAGAGCAAAAAGCTGAGCCACCCTG